AAATAGCGTAAATTAGTACTTCCAGTCAACGGAAATAACTCAAAATTTGACAGAAGGCAGAGGATTAGATATTTTACTTACATGTGAAATTTCATTTACGTATCTGAAATAGTACTCAAGTTATAGGCTTTTGAAAAATTCAAAGTAGAAAAAGTACCACTTCCGGTTATCGGAAATCGCTCAAAAGTTGATCAGGATCTACGATTTTGATAAAATACTTATATGAAATTTCATCAATCTTGCTGTAACGGTACTCAAGTTATCGTGTTTACACACAGACAGACACACAGACAGACAGACACACAGACATACGGACAAGATTGCAAAATTATGTTTTTCCGTATCAGTGAGGTGTAAAACGTCGAGATTTGTAAAAATCTCGATTTTTTTTTCGCACGATTACAAGACTTTCTCTATACGAGAAAGTAAAAAGCCAGCAATTAAAAGTTATTTCATCAGATCGCATAAGCTCGCGTTACGCGGTGATAACAAAAAAATATGTATATATATAATTCTCTTCTGGGAGACGTTAGAAAACAAGCTGCAAGCACCTCCTTACAGTCCCCTCTCTTTCTCTCTATCACTATCACTACCACCACCACCCAACCCACACATGGTCTGGTGAGTTGTGGTCACGCTAAATGTTTACAAATCGTATAGCCGGGTTTAGTGACGGGGGGGGGGGGGGGGGGGGGGAAGTGTAGGTCGGGGTTAGGGGAAAGGGGGGGGGGGTTAGTGTTTTAAAGCAAATATTTTCAGTGGCAGCATTGGTACTGTCGAATTCACAAATTATGAATTACTGAAAAGTAGAAAATAAAACAACTAAATAGCGGCGTATGATAAGCCGCGGGTCGGCTCGTATATTATAATACTCTATAGGGTCTACACTGTGAATAAGTTCTTTAAATTGTGTTAAGGGGGGCGTTAGAAAACAGTCATCCGCATACGCATTTCCACTAAAAAAAATTCGTGGAAAAATCTTAGTAACCATGACAACGGCGGCCATCTTGAAAAATTAATCCCCTTGTAGGTTTTCCACCATCCATAAAAAATTATATTTTAAGTCCAATAAACAATCAATTCATAATCTTCTTCCATATTTTGGGGCACTTAGCTAAAAATTTTAAGTGCATATCTTCAAGATAATTTATTATGAATTTTCAAAATTATATATATATATATATATATATATATATATATATATATATATATATATATATATATATATATATATATGTATATATATATATATATATGTATATATATATATATATATATATATGTATATATATATATATATATATATATATATATATATATATATATATATATATATATATATATATATATATGTATATATATGTATATATATGGTGTCCCGCATGGTGGGCGACGTAGAGAATTGTATATATATATATATATATATATATATATATATATATATATATATATATATATATATATATATACAATTCTCTACGTCGCCCACCATGCGGGACACCACGTACGCACACCGACTATCTAACTCTCCTCCCGACCCACTCCCTCGCTCTCCAGGCATGCGCAACAGATCATATCGTTATCACCCCCACCAGCCTGAATGTTTACAATCGTAGAGCCGGGTCGAATTAGTGGCGGCTATTAGGAGCAGATAATTTAGTTTTTAAAATATTTGAAACTAAGGGGAGGTAACAAGTTCTGCTTGATCTTTTTATATTATGTAAACTGTCTGTAAACTGTCGTCACGGATGACTGCTTTCACAAGGGCGGGAGAGGGGAGGATATTCGTCCTTCAAGAGCTACTGATAGTGTTTTAAAGCAGATGTTGTAAGTCGCAGCATTGGTGTCGAATTTACAAATTATGAATTACTGAAATGTAGAAAATAAAACAAATATAGAAAATTATTCTACTACTGAACACATATTATACCAAGCCCTAACCCTGTTCCTCACCAAAGTCATATGCTTATCCTTAACCTTAATCATATCCCAAATATTTATCATATTCATTACTATTATCATCATTACATCATCATTACGACTAAGAGAAGAAATCCCACATGCACGGAATAAGGAAGAAGCCCCCGCGCTTATTATAAGGAGGAAATGTATAATTAGCCAATGTTGCTTAAGGCTTACGAATGCATAAAATTATGTTAGAGAAGCCAGTTTGATAGCACCAGAAGAAAGCACAAAAATATTATGTGAACGGAACCCATGAATGCATTATGAGAAGGAAGCAACGAAATGAAAAACTTTTTGCACAATAAATACACTATATTTTTATAGCGGAGAAAATATTAATGTTAAGTTTTTTCTTCTAATTGTCCAAAACCTCGACGACTAACAAAACTTTTAATTGGCGAAAATCTTGAAATCTAAAGAGCTAAACATCAAACTTTGGGATGGCTGGTTGAAATCTAAAGAGCTAAACATCAAACTTTGGGATGGCTGGTTGAAATCTAAAGAGCTAAACATCAAACTTTGGGATGGCTGGTTG